TTAATTAAATCTCTAACAAACAAATACATGTAAGATGTCATGAGTATGAAGCTGATATACTAAATGTTTCATATTGTAACATTTGTTTTCACATGATGATGTTGATAGTTGGTACCATAAAATGACTGGGAGAATTATATATGCAGTCATGGAAAAATAACGACTCGTAAAATACTCGCAATTAAAAAATAATATAACGTAGACCTATGGTTATAGGAATGTTTGTGAAGTACATTTTAATATTTTAATTAAAATGTTCAAGAAGCACCAGTGTCAACATGACAACATTCATTGCAAATTTTCAAAATGCTAAAAGATGTTAAAATATCAGCTAGTGGATAAATAAATAATTGTCTTACCATCCAAGGTATTCTTTTGTACAAAAATGTAGACATGTAGTAACATACTGACATCAGGTAGATTTATTTATACTTTTTATGAATATAAAAAATACGAGAATCAAATATTACTTAGATATAGAGGAATACAAGAGATTTTTGAACCAAAGTGAATACTGTATATCAGCTTCCACTGGGTATGGTATTATTGCCATTTATATATTTTACTACAAGTTAACAGGAACATCATAATAATAAATAAAGTGGGCCTATTTTACAACAGCGATGAATATACAGGTAAAATAACGACGTAATAGTTTGATACGAGTTACATTACATAATTTCACATAGATAGAAATATTATACTCATCAGTACTGGAGTTCTTGCTTTAAATAAATCTAAACACGTGTTAATAATGTTAGCAAAGCTACTGTTGAGTATAATACAAAATGAACCAACAGAAATTTAGATACATGATTAACAACAGCCGAATAGTTACTTTGGTATGAATTTAGGTATAATTTTCTACAATATATCATAAATACTTTTGAATATATCTAGAAATATGCGAGACAACAGTATAATCTGTGACACTAAATAGCTACCTATTCATCGCCCGAACAAGACAAACTATCAACCATGAAGTCATTATGAATGAGAACCTCATTTATCCTCTATATATACATATCAAGCAGTATTGATACAGATGTACCTCACATTATCACATGAACATAATGAATAACTGGTTTTAAGCATGGTGCATACTACTGATCATGGTAAATGTTTACAGATGATAAACCATACATATTATTTTTATTATACTACTACTAATATCAAATTAGGTTTCATAGATGGAAGTGTACTGATTTACAAGACGCAAATCAGGTAAATCCTTAGCATACAATTATTACTGAATTTTATTATTGTAAATCTTGAAAGTAAGTATTCTTTGTCTTTTTGAACATCTTATCAAATCTTATAAATCGCAGTTTAAATTTTAACTAAAATAAATCTTGGTTTACAAAAACACCTAACTCTATATTAGCAATAAAATAAATCCAAAATTGTACACAAGAGATTTCATTTGATTATAGGTTCAGTGCAAAGTTCACAAGTGTTTTGCTTCATTTACCTTCCAAATTGTACGCATTACTTTATATCAACTCTATATGTAAAGTGACTGTGAACTTCTAGGTGACTATAACACCAACTTCATTGTCTAACAATGTTGTTCATAATTCATGGTTCCTTTAAACTAAATTCAGAATTGATCTGCTAACAGATTGCAAATTTCATGTGAGACTGTTTCCTTGCTAGATCTTACAGTCAGTCTAAACATTTGAGCTTGTTTGTTTGGTTCCAATCGCATGAGACAACCTACCTGCTGTACTCTAGTATGAACAATTCCTGCACAGACAAAATTATCAGGGTTAGGATCAATACCATCCAGCAGCTGCATACCAAACCCAGCTAATTTGGTGCGAGTTGCAGGTATGTCAATAGAACCTTGAGCCTTAAAAATCTTTTGTGCCCTTTGCTGTTCTCCTCCTAAATTTTTCCATCTTGCAAAAAATGATTCTCCATTCATTTCAGTGGGTTCAAAGAACTTGTTCAATGTAAGTGGTAATTTCATAGTAATCTTTTGTGGTACATTATTGTACACAAATGAAACAGACATACTTGGAGCATCAACAAAATCTTCAATACACTCAGCTGTCAGCATTTGTTGGATCTGTGCACCTGCTTCCAGTACAGGTTCCATAGGTTTCATTTGCACATTCAATTTATGCAAATCAGTCCAGTGTAGTTCAGGGCGAACAGTTTGGATGGGGAACTGAGTTTTGTTTCCATAGAATAAACCGATCCTTCCCAAATTCTGTCTGAATTCACTTTTTACTCCAATCTGAATAAGGTCATTTTCAAAGAGAACACCATTATTTTTGAACAAAAATTTCTTGATATTGTTTTGTTGAACTGTACTTGGACTGATTTTTGGAGCAGTATAGAGATCTCCAAGTACATCAAGCAAACCATTACCAGTTGCTGGTGCAGTAGTTCCAGGAGGAGTGGACAGTCCTAGCAAATCAGCACTAGAGCTATTTGTATTATTGGTAGAGTTAATCACAGCAGTAGGTGCTGCTGTGGGTTGAGGACTCTTTGACTCCCTCACATCATCTGGAATACGGCCAGGCTTCTTCTTCTTTAGAACAGCCAAGATTGAAGATTCTCTTTCTGGGAATGCAGGCATTTCTTCCAATACTGTAGCTAAAACATCAGAACTTGCGACAATGCTTAATTGTAGATATTCAGAGGCTCTTTGTTGTAATTCAACATCAGATGATCGTAAGTTGGAGTCAGCACGAAATACTTCTTGGACACGATTTTTTATTTCAGGGAAGAGATTCACAAGTTTGATGTAGGTAGATAACAAAAGGGCTCTTGTGGCAGCTGAACACAGATGGTATTTAGAATGAAGTAGCTCAAACTGAACCTGAGGTGAGGATCGTGTATCTCCAGCTATCAAATTTCCAAATTCTCCAAGAATGTAGCCACCCACTTTCACCATATTTTCATGACATGTTGGTGCTTGTAATGCCTCAAACACAGTTTTAGCAGCATAACCTTGGACTTCTTCTCTGTTGATTACAATCTGTATGACTCTGTACCAAACTTCTTCTGATACATAATCTCCAGCAATTCTTATAAGATTAAGAATCACATCCACATACCATGTGAAATCTGTAGCATATTTTTCAGCCAAAATAGCTACCTTTAGAACCATTTCTTCCCTTATAGAATAGTCAGCAGTTTCCAAGTAAGCTAACATCTCTTGAACAATTTCCTCAGCATTAGTTTTATCACACATGGCATACAACAAGTCTACAGCCTGTTGTCGGACTGATACATCTTTTTCCATCTTCATAGATAAAATGACAACTTCCTGATGTTTCTTGACAGCTTCATGGGAAAATTCTGATGTAGCTAGATGGCACATGGACTCCAGGGCAAGGTATCTTAAATTTGTCTCACGGTTACTAAGGAATTGGCCAAGCTGGTTACATGCCCGCACAAGTAAATTAGGTTCACTGTCATTATGTATAATAAGACTGATGGCCTCAAATAAGACTGCATTCTTAGCATTAGAATGTTGCACTTTTTTAGATTTAGGTGGTTCTTGAGCCTTATTGAAAATAGTTTCCAAACATTCCGATAAACGGCCCCTTACACCAGGCTCTTCAGATGGTGGAGTGTAGTTTTGCAGCAAACGTAGCAGTTTTACAGAAAGCCAGGGGGCGGGCACAAAATAATATGTGTAATCTTGCAAATCTGTGTAACTAGCAGTTACAATCCTACTCAGCCTAGCAACTGCCAGTGTTACGCAACCCTTATACTCTTCAGGATTCTTTTTAACAAGAGCATCAATAAGAGATGTTGCTGCTGTTACAACTCCCATGTGTGGATCATTTAACAGATGTATGATTCGAGAAGTCCACTCACCTCCTGGAATTATTTCAGGTGACTTCCTGAAGAGTCTCAACAGGCATAGAGCAGCAGATTGCTTCACCACATCCATAGTATCTCCTGAGACCAAAAGCTTGGGGATTTCGGTTCCAAATGCTTCAGCCATATCTTTGCTGCCAATGTTGGCAATGCATTGCAGAGCCAAGTTGACATGTATCGGATTACGTGATTGCAGATCATTTTTAATGCTCTGGATGATAAGCTTAATTAGATCACTGTTGGTATTAACCAACACAGATATGAACAAATACCCGATTTGTTTTTCAGAATACTTATTGGATGAAAGTAAGTTGACTGCTTCCATATGACCGAAGTCGATATCATGACCCAGCAAAAAGATAAATAAGAGTTTACACACGTATTTCTTTTTTTGATATCCATCAAGAGTTTTGTCACCTTTGAACTTACTTCTTATGTTGGCCAGCTCTTTATTGATCCTCTTAATTTCCGCTTCTTTGCTTTTACAATTTCGTATGTCTGATATGAAGACTGCGAGCCCTCGCATTCCATCTCCCCTGACGGCAGGCATATTGCCAAGTGACTTATCGAACACCAGTTTTATGCCTTTTCTTTACACTTTAAAACGAAATAATGTCTCCAAAATACTACCACTAACGTATAAGACGGAAAAATTGTAAATCGGCGTTGAATTACAACTAATCAATTAGCGGCCGTCATTACATTAATCGGAAAAGATGAGTTTCTTCTGATGGTTCTACAACGCCTTCCTTTTCCATAGATCCGTTTTTGAAACGTCAGACTGAGCTTATTGTTTATGGATCAATATTGTACGCCAATCAAGGGCTTCTTATACTTTTATGATCCTTATCCCCGTTACATAAGGTACAAATTCGGAAAGACTTCATTTTGACAGCTGAAATAAAGCCAGTGGAGCATTCAATAACTTTCGTTCGAAAATAGATATAATGAAGAATTAAAGAAAGAATGATTTCCGTACGTTTAAAAACAAATCTTATTAGAAAATTTGGACTAACAAATTTTACTACTACTGTACTAATCATTAAGTTACTGTGTGTAAAATGTAGTGAGTAAATAAATATTTGCAGGTATCATCCACATTACTCCACTGACAAATCTTGTAGGTACTTCACTAGTCTCGGTGTCTATTACAAAAGTACCTAGTCTATGGCCGAATGTCGAATTTGTCCAATGTTCGTCTTTCCATCAGTCACGAGACAAATGTAATAAAAATCGAAAATACATCTAAAGACTACGAAACTTCATTTTAAATTCGTATTATAGCTAAATATGACTTCTATGTGTTATTGTTCTGCAAAAATGTCTTCGTTAGTTTCATCTGATCTCTTGTGAAAGGCTGGTGTCAAAGTACGATTCAACTAATGAATGATGCAGTCTATTTTCTGGACAGGGAGACTGCTATCACGTGCTTTAAGAAATGGACTATCAAATTTCTCGAGTGCTGCTGAATTAAATGTTTCGACGACAAAACACCCATATTTAGTTTCAGTAGTGTGTGGTTTTCCAAAAGACATTGCTAATGGAAGAACTCGCAAAGGACAATTCGGTGACGACGCATGGTTCTCCACCAATTCCAGCAACGCGGATGTTATTGGTAAGAATATTGTTTATAAGTTTGACAAATTATAGTTTGTTTTTGTCAATTTATTATCATTTCATATTATTGCCTGTTTTCGTTTTATCATGGTCCCTTGATCTAACATGTTTGCTTATTACGCTGTAATTTTATTTGAAGTATCGCGAAATTTTCTTTTTTCGTGTCTTTGCTTTTCATCCGCATTTGATACTAATAGTAATTACTAGACATTAAATATAATAGTGAAAAATGTTCAGGGAAAAACACTTTGTTTTAAGGTAACAAAGCACAATAAACAGGTTTTTGCCACCTATTTCCAAGTAGTGTGAAACTTATATTAAATCATGTTAATGATCATCCACTCAAGAAATATGAAGCGCTTGAGAATATTTCGTTATTTATTGCTAATAAACCTAAGATAATCACTATACTAATTATTTTAATGGCATGAGGTTAGCTGCACTTGATTATGAAGAATCATTTTATTTATACTCGGCTAAATGGCAATAACTCAATAACAATCATAAATTATTTATCTATCATTATAATTATAAAACTGTTTTAAGTAATCTAAATGATATTGAGATTACAAAATTTTGATTAGCAATGTAAGAATGTAAAGTTATATTATTATATTTTGATCCATACTATCAATCTTTTTTGGACACATGATCATATCTTATGCTACAAGTCACATATACTATATTGTATGATCAAACAATGTATAATAAAAAGACATGAACTTGCTATTGTTCCATAGTTATAATATTAGAGATCTGATCCTTTGCAACAGAGAACACAAGTGCATCATAAGCTACCAGTTTAGACCTTTCCTCTATTTAGGATATAAGAACTACCAAACAATAAACATTAAACAATAATCTAAATAACAATCTGATATAACAAAGTTTATTGATTATAAAACATCTTGAAAAATAAACACAATTGCTTCATAGCCCATTGTGTGAAAATGATTATAAACAAATGATTGTAATAATATCTATTCAAAAAGTCTCAACTGAAACCAGTTGGCTGGCTATAGTACATTACTTTAAATGCTTTGCATGTGACAGGACTGTCAACCTTCATGTTTTGACTTTAAGCACAGTCAATGCACTTGATAAATATGCTGAGAACATTATACCTAAAAAGAAAATGTTTTGTTTATTACACATGTTTAGCAAACTTCTTTTTATGGAATTATCCCTAAGGTAATCTTTAGAAGTAAAACAATTACAGGAAAACTGTAAATTATTCAATTCATTTCTATTTTTAATACCAGGTTTTGCATTGATTTATAATGTTTTTAATCAATTTTATACATTGTTAACTCATTTTAGATTTAGTTTTCACACATTGATGAAATCAATATATAGATATCCATCGCTTTTTCATTTATATAATCTCATTCTTTTATTTTATTAATTGTATGTTATTTAAAAGTATGTTATCAAAGATTTTATTCCTGTTTTATCGCTTTTATCATCTTTAATTATTAATGGTCCTAAACTTGATTTGCCAACACATTTGTGGTTTACTTGTTATCTTCATCTCATTTGAATCTTATCAGCACTTTATGTTGACAACAATATAAATATATTTATTTGATTATCATATAAACAAAAGAACATGACATGACTTATTCATTGAAATAACAGTTAAAAAAACAACTAATAGCCAGTAAGGTGTTTGAACTTGTTAATTTTATACATATTAAAAAAATCCTTAGTAAGGAATTTAATTGAAACATTAAACCTCTTTCTTAGGTGTGGCAGATGGTGTAGGAGGATGGCGTGCTTACGGGATCGACCCCGGAGAGTTCTCCTCGTACTTGATGCGGACATGCGAGAGGCTCGTCCAAATGGGACACTTCAAGATGACAGAACCAGGAGATCTGCTGGCGAAGTCCTATTATGAATTGTTGGAACATAAGAAACCAATATTAGGTAGGTCTAATCTTCATTCCTTTGAATTGACTATACCTGGAAATAATTCAGAAATATTTCATTCAATTATCGTAATATATTTTCAATCTAATGATGTTGTGATAAAGTTGAAAATCCATTACTGTATCTGACTGTGTCTGAAATCTTATCTGAAAATTTGAAAAATAAGGTTTCTATTTGAATAACAAAGTGTTAAAAACCAACATCACAAACAGTTTGTTTAAAAAATTTGTCTCTTTTGAACATGCATATAGCTGAGAATATATTCACCTTGACCAATTTAGATACAGATAGACTGTGTTAAATTTAATGATTAAGATATATTCATGGCTGCATTTTTTGTTTATGTCACACTCAATTGAACAATACAAAGTCCTCTTTTATTTTCCTCTGCAAAACATGTGATCTCTTGCACCAGTCAACTAAATAAATTATTGATAACTCTATGGTTGGTATAGACATTATTAATATTTTCTTTGTAATGCGATATGACTTCCTGTGTCGTACTGTTTGCATGTTCATTTAAAAACTTTAGGTTATAAATTATAATAAATTTTCTACTCTTATTCTATGACAAGGTTCCTATTATATTATAGAACAATATATAGTACTTACTAGCTTCTGCCCACGACCGTACGCGCAATCCCGTTTTCTCCCGTTCCGGTAGGTTTTTTCAGGACTTTTTTTAAGTCAGAGGAACCTTCTCTTAATAATTACAAATACAACAAAAATAGAATTAGTGAAATCGGTCTAGCCATTCACGCGTGAGGCCGTGACCAAGGGAAAAAGAGATTAATTTTTATATATGTTTGTAGATTGGAATAATTATGATTTATTTTGACGATAGCTAATAAAAATATTTTGTGACTTGGATAAATAGTCATAGACTTCGCCTTATAACGATATTGAAATTCTCAGTAGGAAACAAACAAATTACATATTGAATTAATTCTCTAATGTCCTTGCGGGTTTTAACGACCATGACAGAAGTATTTAAATTATAGTGAAACAAAAAACATTATAACTAATCATAATATGCCTACATTTATAGAAATGTAGGAACATTAGGCGAAGAAAATCTGATTTTGATTTTTGTTACTTCAAACCCCATGAAATGGAAGGTATACCATCGGCATACACTGGACACAGTTTTAAATTGCGTGTTAATAGACTTTCAAAAACTTAAGATTACTCATATTTTCTCAGTTACTCAGATTTTCGAACTTGACTCTTCTAGAAATCAAATTCGAAATCCCCTGGGTTATTCGCGTTTGCAATTGATCCTCTAGAGGTGCTTTAATGCGTGGGATAATAAATTATCGTATTGTCTGTTACAGGAAGCAGCACAGCATGTGTAATGATCCTAGATCGGTCAGAGAGCGTGATGCGGGCAGCAAATATCGGCGACAGCGGTTACATGGTTGTCCGCGGAGGTCGCGTGGTGCATCGCTCACATGAACAGCAACACTACTTCAACACGCCCTACCAACTCAGCCTACCGCCGCCCGGACACGACCGGAATGTGCTAAGCGACAGGTAAATAACTAAATACAACAACAAATATATTTCTACATAGCTACTCGTATTTGCGTTTTGAGAAATCATCCTCATAATAGATAAGTTGACACCAATAGCTGATGATAAATCTGTCTTTGGTGTCTCTAAGATACAATGTCTGTAATGCAATGAGATACTGTTTATTTGTGTAGGTTTGTGAAAAAAGGATGATATCTTATCATTAGTTTGTAAAATGAACAACTATGATACTTAAATCTGCCATATTTATACAGGTAAAAAACACAGTAGGTCATTCAAAATCAAGATTATTTTAAAATGACATTGACTACTGACTGTCGTGGGATTGTTATTTGTGTATTTATCTCGCGTCTACACTTCTATGATAAAAGAAGTATAGTGCGTCATAATTTCTTGGTGATAAAATCTGAATTAATGCGAAAGGTTACTTCAATACTGATAGTAGTATAAATACAACTGAAGACTCAATCTGTACTATGGGTAATACGATTATGATTCAAAACATCTACATTTTGACTTAACATTAAACTGATTTAACCATAGGAATGTCTAGCATTCCACAATAGTAAACTAAAACCACTAAAGTCGTGCACTGCGTACTGTTGACAGTTTCAAAATTTTCAATTTGGTCAGGTGCCAAAACTTTTACAAAGTATAATGCGCTATGCGTTATGTCGTTATATTTTGAAAAGTACTGTAGTTTTATACATACGGTTGTATACTTCCGCCCACTATTACTACAATTTACGCGGACCATTTTGACAGTCTGAATGGCCCAAATAACCGCACTGAAGCAGTGTAAACTAGAGACCAGCTAACTGCCTCCATGCGGTTTTAATAATATGGCTGGCTACATGAGGCAGTCTGCTTGTATTTTCTGCTCCATAACTTAATATAATCCGTATTAAAACGGAACAAAAGGTGTTTATCTCTTAAACAAATTAGTTCGACTATAACTAATTCCATATGGCTTGCAGACAATGTTTTGTAATGCAAAAATATGCAATTAAGAACGAGTCCTTACAGGTACATCGATCAGCAGTCAATTATACGATTGTCCTTTAAATCGTTACTATTTTTAGCATCTTAATGAAACTGCATCGTTGCGGTACAATTAACCAATTAAACTTTATTTACTAACATTGGCTATGCTAGATAAATTTTATTCAGACTCATTATAAATGCAATGCATATAAAATTATCAGACAAAGTTAAAAAGTGCACATTATTGAACTATTAGGACCTTGTACAATCGCATTTGCGGGTCAAAGGTCTGTAATATGACATGACATCGCGTTAAAATTCTTCTTAATTAGTTGACTAAAATGAGGTTTTCCTTATCTCGTTTCGAGCAGTGAGGAAACGTGAAACACTAACACGTTATTTTATCCACTTGTATCTAGATTTGGTCACTACAGTCATAAGACTCATTATTCTCCAACCACGAGACTAGTAGTCATGTGCTCATTCCACATACAGCTGTTATATTTCTGTATGCACTAATATTAGAATTTTTAGCTCATTGGACATTTGCCAGGTCTTTAAACTTGCGCGTTCTCTTGAAATTTATGGAATTGTGTTTACTTGTTTGTTATTGGCACGGCTTACGAAAAGAATTTCATTTATTCTTTAAATCCTCTGTTCTGAGCAATAATCACGAATTAAGCGAGGTAATTTTAAATGACTACGCAATGTATTCATTCTTTTACATATGAGGTCGTTGACACTTAATTACATCATTGACATAAAATAAATGAGATATTGTTGTCATAACTTGTTCACCTTAAATGTGTAGATACAACCGTGTGTAATGTATGTACTCAGGCATCCTAGAATTGAGCGGTTACGTCTTGGCGCCCTAATTACGTCCCGCTATTATGTAGATAAGTGGACGAGAATAAAGTCCAATATTTTTTTACTCTCATGAAGTGGTCTGTCGCTCTTCACATGTATTGCGTCATTTCAGAAACATTATGTTGTTATTTAAATGAGAACTGAGTGGCTTACATTATCTGTGCTTATGTACAATCTTCATATGTAAAGTGGTCGTGAGCATGATTGTTCAGCTAGTATTCCTGTCTAGTCGAGTATGTAATCTATGTGAAAACATTTTCACAAAAAAAAAAACAACTGAAAACCCTATTTATCATATAGCATTATAGGAAAATAAATGACCAAAACTTAAAATAAAGAATCCCCGGCCTGTTATGGGCTATTTCCATTCAAGAAAACAATAATGTTCTTATGTATAGGTATTAGGTAGCCTATAGGTAGGTAATGTTAAACGATAATAAAAACCTACCTAATTATTATTATAGGTAATGAACCTGTCACTTGTAATAATAAAGAGTTGTTACGGACAGGGAGGCAACATAAAACAGTTTTCACATTCATAATCATTATCACAACATTCGGAGCATGTTGTTTACATAGTGATCTCGATTAAAACTGGCGTGGATCAATCATACCACTTTTACTCTTATTTATAAAAGGGTTATATCGGTTAATGGTGTCGGTCGGTCATCGTGTTGTCACACACATGCATGCCTGAATGTCATGCCATTCATGCCGTGTCAGGAACCCTTGCAATCAACCAAACTGCAAGGTGCAGTCTTTTATTATAGTACAATAGTAGGTACCTATACCTATCAGTACTACAAACATATTCCGAAATCCAACTCATTATTAATTCATAAAAAAACTACTATTAAATGATTAAGATTTAAGCTCGATTATACTGACTAATCAATCATTGTATATTTATATCATAACTTCAGTAAGAAGGCTTAACTTTTTAGAACTTCCGCCGCTGGTTTTACCAAAAATGCAAACAATTTACCAGATCCATCTTCAAGTGTATATTTTTTTATTATCAGGCCAGAATCAGCGGAGACGTCAGAGTTCACAGTGGAATGTGGGGACGTGATCCTGGTGGCGACAGACGGCGTGTTTGACAACGTTCCCGAGCCAGTATTGGTGGCTGAGATGAGACGCGCACAAAGCCTCGCCGGGGAAACGAAGAAGCTACAGGCTGTTGCCAACTCCATCGCGTGGATGGCGCGCAACCTCTCCTTTGATGGCTGCTACATGTCGCCTTTCGCTAAAAGCGCGCGACAGAACGGCATTGATGCTATTGGTAAGATTTTTACAATGCTAATACAGTTGAAAAATTATATTGAACTTGATTGAGAAATAATGAACCAAATCACATAAAACAGTCGCGACTTCCGTAGCACCGCGTTGTATTAATTTTGGCTCTAAAATTGGAAAGAATAGTACAGCTAAAATAAAGCTTAATTGCTTCTCTTCGTTTATTTAAACAATAGAATGATAGGTTGTAACAATGGAATTAATTTCAATGCCATCACCTAAATATGTTTTAATGTGACTAACTCTAGTGTTTGTTTACAGGGGGAAAACCGGACGACATAACGGTGCTACTTGCTATCGTAGCGCTATGAAAATGTCCATATGTGATTTATGTAGCTAGATTCTAGGTACATTTTTTTGTTGAAGATTACTACAAAATTTAGTTAAATACTAGTGATAAACAACGAAGCCAAAAATGAAGTTTGGACCCTTTTTTTGTAACTGATCTGTAATTATTTTTGGATGCTTTTGGTTATAAGTGAAGGAGGTGCCCATTTCATTTGATTCAATGCGATTTATCAAGAAACTGATATGTATGTTTCTAATCTGTTTTATATGTATATTTGTCCTTTAATTGTTACATTGTGCATAGAAATGTGTAAATAATTTTGTACTATATCTTCGGTTTTGTAATAATAGATGTGTCTGTATGATCTCAAAAGTTGTTTGTATGTTTTATAGTGATGTACAGGACCAGTCCATGTAGTTGTCAATAGGTCACCTCCTAAACTTGATATGGTCTACCTATGTTAGATTTCAACTAGAATTGTTTATTCAGAGATATCACGCTGTGACGTCACGATCTGACTGTTGTGCTTCTAAATTATTGTGATTTAGATAGATGAAGCTGCTTGATGTCGTTGTAGTGCTGAAAACGTAAGTGCAGTTTACTTGCTGTAAGATTGAATGAATTTTGAGTGTGTAATTGGGTCAGCGAAAGTTATCCGTGACCGACATTACCAAACAACAGACCCACTTTCTGCTATCTATTGTGTTATGATTACACACAAAGTTAACAATTCGATAGAGTATACAGACTTTTTGATCGTTCTTGTTCTTATAAGCGACATACTGTGTGTGTGGTCGATAATAAAGAAGTCAATTAAAATGTAACTTTGCGAACGAAAAATACTTAGCGTAAATATTTGTTCAGAACTCGCAAAAAAATAAAGTTATGTTAAATGTTGTCGTAGTAATTGATAATGTACACAGGTCTATAATGACATGCCGATTATAAGAACACTGAAAAGTCAGAGTGTGCAGGTCAATGCATTGTATAATGATAACATTGTGATTTTATATTACCTTTAAATGAGTATGTGAGAACAAATCGTATTTAACATGAAAGAAATATCATGCCGCCTTTTATATTTTGATTTTGTTGGCCCAATTGTATAAAATAGTGTCGTAATTGTGTGATTTCAAAGTTGATGAGTATGTCCTTTTAAATAATTGATTTTACATCAACTCTGTGTCTTGGAATTGAGTGTGTGTTTGAAGGAAGACTGAATACAACTAGATATACTGTTCTTGTTGTTACTAGTAGTTTTATTAATGTTACGAAACTTTATTTGAATGAAGCGATCACAACTAACGGTTCTATGTCTAAGACACTTTATGTTCTTTTTATACATTTTTATGTAAATTATATGTGTTATGATTTGTATGTGCAATTATTTTTCAAACAGTTATTAGGACCATTGTCGCAGCTTACACTTTGATGTGAATACTAAATAAATCATAGCTGTTCTATACAGCGGCAATCGTTATCATATTAACATTAATATATAAATTGCATTTGACTATTATTTAATGTAATATATTACTTGGCGAGTAAAACGAAACTGACCAATATAAAAATCTAAAAATAATCGGCTTTTGTCAACAAGTCGCAATCATTGCGAACAAAGTTGGCATTTCATAGACGTGACATAGTTCATTGTATTGATGTCATCGCCATTGTAAGTTTCGTTTTAGTCGCGACCTCCATGTTCAAGCATTGTCGAAACTAATCTAGAGTTCTTTGAGGTACTAAATTGTTGTGCCGGATTAGCCGTGGCGCACAATTTGTAGATGCAAATCAGTAGTGAAACAGTATCTAAAAATTAGTGCATATTAAAAGTATGTCGAATGTATTTATTGGCTGTAAGTAAGTAGTCACTGATCAAACGCTTATCATTACTTATTTGCTCGGACTTATCAACTAATTGTGTTATAAAAATTCACCATGATATTGCGTGAACATAGAATAAACAATTCTGATTACGATCTATTCTTTATTTTTATCTAACCCTTTAACCGCCGACAACGTAATATTACGGTTTTCGAAAGCTGTGTCCGAATCGCCACATACGTACAATCACGTTATTTTATTAAAAATCTTCTTATAGTGCACAAACTCCATATAAAATGTGTCAATTTCAAGATGTAGGGTATAATCTTTATTGTTATGGATATTTCTCAATGTTTTGAGTGATAAATACTGTGAAATTTGAGGTTTAATTAAATTGTGGTCACCGTCTCCATTATCCGTATCGCCAATCACGTAATTTTACGAGTACTAGGGATGGGGCGAATTCGAAAAATACTTAATAGGTTGTCTAAGAACAAACAAGGCACTATAGATATTACTGTCACTATTTGCAATGAAAGTGTATACTTTCATTAGAAAATAACCATAGTGTTACTTTGATGCAAGTATTTGAACTAATTAAAATGTATTTAAGTTTAAAATTATTTAATATTTATAACAATAATATAAAAATTTCATAACGCAGAACCGCACTAGTGCGGACAATCGCCGGTCGCCATCATCGTAATATTACGTGCGGCCAAGGAGATTATAGCGCTGTATTGTGAGTTGCCTTAGCGCCGTCACCGTAAAATCACGTTAAACATTTATCACTCAATGCAACTAGTGTTGTAAACCCTTTTTTGGGTTTTTGTTATTTCTCAAATAAATCAACACAGTCAAAACCAAATGTGTCCATTATGCAAAGTTAGAAGATGGTGACGCAAAGGAATACGACATGCTCGTGGAGCATCGTCACCGTCGCCAGCAGGAGAACGGACGACGCCGTGCCCATTTCCCGAATACACATTTTCGTATACTTCGTTTGAAGATTGAAAATTTTTAGATTATTTATTAAGTAGGTAAATAAAACATTGATTTCAATTTTTTAATTAATAAAGAATATATGCATCGATATTAAGTGTTTCCAACACTGTTCCAACTTATACCTAAAGTGACGTGGCGCTGGAGGTAAGTTGAAAGTTCAGAATCTTGGCGGTTAAAGGGCTAATGACCTATCAGAACCTTACCCTTACATTCTTGTGGTCTTAGATAAATATTTTTTTTTATAAAAAAAACGACTTCAACCCCCTCTTTCTTTAAAGTCGGTAAATTAATAAATACAAAAACATTTTTGGACTGCTTCGTTGGCCCAGTGGTCGCAAGTGCGATTGCCGGGCAAGGGGTTTTGGGTTCGATTCCTGGGTCAGGCAAAGTATTCCTTAGTTTATAAAAGAATATCTCAGTAGTAGCACTGAGGCTGGAATTGTGCCCGGTATATGGCAATAGGCTCACCCTCTATTACATGGGACTCATAACATAAATTAGTAATGAAAAGTAGGTGTTACATTGTACAGTGGCATTAAGTGCCGTAATGTGCATCTTTGCCTGCCCCTTCGGGGATGAAAAGGCGAGATGTTATGTTTAGTGAAAACATTTTTCTAAAAACCGCATTAAAATCGGTTCAGCCAATCGCACAATCGTATGTTTGTACATTTGTACATTCATACAAACAGGTGAAACAGAGAACCTCCTTTCTTTTTGAAGTCGGTTTAAAAGTTTTATTGTGGACCTCTCTTTTCACCTGAAAAGTTAGTAGTGGGAAATATTTGTTCATTTTATAGAACTCGAAAGAATATTTTCAATTCCCAAAATATTTAAGTTAAAATATATACTATGAACTGTGTCCATATACATGTTAGAAGTAGAATAGAGTATGCATTAAGTAAGAATGAGGGGATTATTTAGGTGAGCTTTTAATCAATGAAAAAAAAAATATTTATCAATAGTTTGTATTCACAAATAACAGACCCTTATCAATAAACTTTTTTACACAAAATACATTATCGATTCACCACTATGACGTAAATGTAATCACGATGCATTTACTTTGTACAAGTCATACAGTGTGTTCACTCTATCATTGTTACCCACGACAACAAGGGCGCCATCTATTATACACACTGACGTACAATCCAGATAATATTAATTTAATTTTACCATTGTTAGAACGAAATATTTCTTTTCCAGTAAATCATCTTCAGTGGACAGATTTCTAAATGTAATCACAAATACTAGTACTGCCAGGTACTGTTATATTAAATAACTAAATAGTGTTGCCATATTCTACTTATCTTCTTCTTAGAGGTAAACGGCAAATTAAGTTAGTACAATAACATTGGCGCCTAAACCATTACAAATTAAAACTATTGCGAATTACTTGAAAGAAAACAAGATTACATAGTACCTAGATAATTTGATATTGAATTACTTTCTAGAAATATAAAAATATATCTTTTCAACCAAAGTCCTTTGCTTCTCCTATAGAATTAGGTTTTGAAGAAATTAATAGGTAAACATAAATAACAGAAAGAGAGAAGAAATCATGAAACATAATATTCTTAAATTATTATATTTGGCGTGTATTGGATGTTCTAACCAACTAACTTATCTGGCTTCATCTTCATCATTACGACGACGCCAGTCAAATCCACCTGGTCTTAGGTGATCAAGATCTGGAAGTGTGCCATAATCTGGTTCAGGAGCAGGATCAAAAAGCTTTTTCCTGAAATTCATCAACAGACAAAATTAAATTCATTAAGACTGCACTGTTGGCACGGTTGCTGGGCAACTGGCTACCGTGTATCATGTTGTGGGTTTAATTCCCACACAGTACAACTCAACAACAGATTGTTGTGATTATTGTTCCGGGTCTGGGTGTCATGTGTATGTGAAATTGTATTGTTTGTAAACACACCCATGACACAGGAGAAAACCCAAGTGCAAAAAAATATTTTTATAAGACTTGTCTTCTCTATACTTACAAAAACTTTGGTGTCTTTAATATTTTTTGACCCCCATTTTGTCTTGGTAGTACATCTTCCATAAAGAAATATATGTGGCCAATAGCCATTCCAACTAAGTCTACTGATATTGCATTACCAAGTAAAACTGAGAAGCCCAGTAACACCCAAGGAAGGTAAGGAGCCTGAAACCAAAAAGTAGTTATATTGAAAAAGATATTAAAAAAGTTATTTGGTAAATGTAGATATTGTTATTAGATATATAATACCTGGAAGTTCATCAGGCCAAAGAAGTTCATTCTCACAAAGACATTTCTACGAGACCATACATACACAATCATAATGGTAAATGCTTGTCCTAAAAATAATAAATTCACGAAGAAAGCACCTATCTGTTATAAATTGTTAAGGAAATTTTAATACTTTGGCAAACAGTCATCCTTTATTATAATTGGCAATGTTGATACAGTGCACAGCCAACTATTATATCACTGCCATCAACTTAATAACATTATCTTCATTGTTAGCTCACTTGCAATGCAAATTATGCAGTGTTAATCAGATTCTTATCTTCCTAATTGGAAATTCCACAATTAGAACCTAATGGCAAATCAGACCTGAAAATGTATAATAAAAAAGGATACAATCATGAGGACTCCGCCAAACACAAACATTACAACAAAGTCTGCAGTTCTTCCTCTGAAAGAGCCCTCTTCAAGCATTCTACAGTATCTGTAGGTAAATATCATATTGAAGAAAAAGTTGAATCCTAAATTTCCAAAAAAGAGGAATGTACTTATTAGCCTCCATAGTTGATATTTCCTTAATATTAGATTAGGGTTAAAATATAATTGAAATGGTGATACTAGATCCAATTGCTGAAACAGAAAAGTGGTTACAATGTTTATACACAATCATATGACATTTACAAGCAAAATATAGTAATGACTCAGCAAGTGACACGTAAAATTAAATAAACAACAAAACTTACAACAGCTAATGTAGTGACAACACAAGCTGTAGTGTATGCTCTGGTGACTGGGGGTATGAGCATATATTCTTGGAGTAGCGTTTGGTACGCCATTTTATAGTTCAGACTTAGTTTTACCACTACACTTTAACATACAAAAGAAAATTAGCTAAGATAACGAAGTCACAGTTCGACTCGACATGATTGGGCCACATCAGAATCAAATAATTGTCCACAATAGGATGTGTTGATTACAGTTAGGTGAACTACGAAGTAACCTTCATTTAGTCTTCAAATGTATTAAATTTCAAGGAGTTATAGATATTATTATTATACAATCATCCGTTCTTAAATTAAACAAGAATTACTTGAATAATATCATAAAATCTACAAATATCGAGCAAAATTTGACAGAAACAAAGATCAGATAATGACAGTTGTGACAGTTGACAAATTACTTTCATGTATTTTTTTTAATGGCAATTTATTACAGCTGTTGAGGTGTTGTTCATGTGTTGTTCCCACTTCCATCATATCTTCCAATAGCAAAACTTGCCTCAGTCTAAAAAAAACATTTTCCATTATTGAGACGAATAAATTATTCTAATAATTATTTCACTGTATGTATATTTTTAAGACTGCGTTCTTTCAAAGTTTTATTATAAGTACACATCTGGACTGGATACTACTGTCTACATTCGGGACACATCTATTAGCTCACCTTGTATTTTCAGCTTCGTTTAGTCCTAAAATTTTTTAATAGGTCGAGCAAAAAGTTTTTTTGCAGTTTTGAACCTGGCACATTCACAATTTCATTAAATAGTCTTTTTTTAATTTCGATCACAGAATTTAAACTTTAAAGTTTAAAGAAACAAAAGACAATTTGGAGCCTGTTTGTTGATATCACACCATCGAGTAGAAAACTTGGTTTTCTTGGATTTAATTCTTGGAAAAGTGATTGATATCTTTGGTTTTGGAACAAACATTACTTATTCTTAACATTACGGTGAGGTTCTATCAATAATTGGATACCTCACGTGAAGTCGCCGCCCAAGCTGTGGCACTTATTCAGGCCGGACACAGCCAAAGAAGCGTTTCTTTTCCGCAGTTATTTAAATTGGACACAGCAAGATTGGAGCCGTGTACTCTTTTCTGATAGTCTAAAATTGTGTTACATGGCAATGATGGAAGGAAGAAGGTCTACCGACGTAAGGGAGAGCGTTTCGTTGACAATGTTGCTTTGAAGAGAGGGTTGCTTACGGCGGTGGCTCATGGACTGTTGGGGGCGGTATATCCGCGAGCGGCAAAACTCAACTTGAGGTTGTCTTTATTTGTTGTTGTTTTGACCAGAAATTAAACCTTAATTGATAAAACATGTTTTTTATTCAAAAATCAATTGCCTTTAACAAGGTGCATATCCGATTTGTTAGGCCGAATAAGACGTAGCTCCATGTCGTATGGTATTCTGAATTCAAATTTAAAACAATACGATCGAAAAATATGGTTGGTAAAATGTATCAGGTTTAAAACTGCATCAACAGTTTTTGTTCAATCTAGCAATCTCATATTTCGGTAGGGGCCATCGAAACCTAAACTCTAAGGCGGGCCAATAGATGTGTCGAGAAGTGTAGTTGCAAGTAAGGGGTAGTGATTACCTAGTTGCAGGAGCGGTATTTAGGAATTGGGTTCGATTCTTGAGTCGGACTTAACATACATAACATCACGCCTTTTACCCCAGAAGGGGTAGGCACGCACAGGTGCACATTATACCACTGTACAATGTAACACCCACTTTTCACTATTTATGTTATGAGTCCCATGTAATAGGGGGTGAGCCTATTGCCATATACCGGG